CTGTGATTCTGTGATTCTGTGAATAGTCCTCCCATGACTTCAAGAATAGCAGAGAAGCAAGAAACCCCAGAAATTTCAATTACAGGATTATTATTCATAGATCTTCAGGGAAGAAAAGCATTTTAATTCCTTTCATTCTTCTTGGGGAAAAATGTTTTGAACGTGAATGTTTGAAGTGTGGCCTGGGCAGCTATCCGTGCAAAAGGCTCTTGCTTGGACAGGGCAAATGGAATTGTGCAACATCGAGTTAAACATTCTCAGTGTAAGAGACAACATGCGCAGCCCAGCTGAGCAACAGCTCTGTGGCAGATCTATGTAGAGTCCTCTTAGAGGAAATTTCCACCTATTCTACTGCATCCAGCACTCTGAGGAGTCACAAACAGAGTAAGAACACTTTCCTCAGCAAAGATGATCTCTTCAGCTATATTTAATGTCAGAATTATGAATGTAATTTCTTGTACAAACGCAAACTATAATTTATCTGTTTGCCTGTTTTATTAAACATGGCTTTACCAAATCTTGCCAAGTCAAACTTACTGCTGTGCCTATAATCTTGCCTTCATTTTATTCACATTCAACTTTTTTTGGTGACGATAACAAGTGCTTTCCTCAAGATGTCAGGTGAAAAGTGTCTCAGAAATACCAGAGATTAAATAACAATATTTAAATATCTCAACTGAATTTAGGGGAACAGACTGGGAAACGGAAACCATATGGCACATATGACAGGAAATACTATTGTCCGCAAGCACAGCAGAAGCAAGCATCTCAGACATCTCTTAATAGTATGATAGTTTTTTGAATTCACACAAAGCCAAGCATGGTTTCCCCAAATGGATTCATAAAGCCACATTAATTTTGGTCTGATTAAAGAGTCATTCAAAACCACAAGAAGCAAAACAATGTTACGTTTACTATGACTGCCGCATTCCTGTGAGTGCTAGTACAGAAGATGAATGAAGTCCACATGGTTCCTTGCGTATGCAATACAGCTCTGATTAATATTAGCAATGTGTACCCCTTTATACAATTGCTTCTTGATTAATGCAGAATGAATCATTATTTTCCATTCCAATATCTGTCTTGAACTTAACACACAGATATTTCATCTATTAAAAAGTAAAAAATATTACAAAATTAAACAAAGCCTCTGGTTCACAACTTCACTGAGTTTCAAAGCACAATCATTTTTGCTTTTAATAACCTTAAGACTCTTTTTTTAAAGTCCTCACTTAAAATAACATAAACTACCTACAGTAGTTCTCATTGTCTGGTCTTTAAAGAAGTAAACACTATAAGGGCACAAGGAGAAAGACAAAGGTTTAGTGTGCATATGCATCAGACAAGGAGGTCATGTAGTAACTTCAAAAACAATGATTCTAGTCCTAGTACTTATGTATGCATGACGTAAATGAGGGAAGGCTGAGAGAACTGGGACTGTTTAGTGTCAAAGGGACATCTAACTGCTGTCTTTGGCTACCTGAAAGACTTAAGAAAAGATGGAGACAGATTCTTCTTGGAGGTGCACAGTGAAAGGACAAAAGACATTGCTCACAAATAGCAACCTGAGAAATCCTGACTGGATATAGAGAAAAATTCCTTCACAGTAACACAAAGAAAAAAAAAAATCTTCACAGTGGTTGCTAAGCACCAGAACAGGCTGCACAGAGAAACTGTGGAATTACCCTCCCGGGATACTTTGAGAACTCAGCCGGATGCAACCCTGAGAAACCAGCTCTCCCTTGAGCAGAGGTTGGACCAGCTGACTCCAGAGTCCCTTCCAACCTGACCTTTTTTATACTTCTGTGTCTCACAGTAAAGTGCTTACAGCACTGCTCAAGATTCACAGACTTGGCGGGGGGGGAGAGGTTTATACACCAACTACATGAAAAGTGTTAATTCCAGAAAAAAAAAGCTGTATTTAATGTATTGCTAGAATGACAACGTTTGAGCTAACAAGAAGCATTTAGGTAAGCATGAGATTCAATCAGTTATAGATCAAAAAACCGTACCACCTTTGCAGCAATGATTTGCATAGAAAACCCAATGCAGCAATAACAAAGTCCTTTCTAGCTTTGAAACAGCATGTAAATCTATCAAACAAACTCACTCTTACAGGCACCTGGTTTGCATGAGTACAAAAGTGCTACTTAGAGACTGAGGTCTAGCACTACTGGTATAAATTATGCAGATATGATATATAAAACTACGATAGTTTCTTTAACACCGGTGATCAGACTACTTTGGCTTATCTTTAATCATGCTTGACAGCTTATTAGAATTATCCTGATTTGGTATTCCCCCCACACTGCCTGTATTGAATGAAGCTCTTTGGAAAGAGACTGTTAAAAAGCAGTACAAAACAAAGAAGTTCTGTGTTTGTCTACAGATGAGAAATTTTGCATTCTCTTTCCATTGCCCTGCCAAAATGCACAAATTATAATCTTCAGGGAGCAGGCTTATAGTTCCTATGAGGTGGAAGAGCCCATTATGATTTTGTTTTATTGAATCCAACATTTCTTTTCATTCGAAGAAACTTTCATACCAATATTGAGCGTTCCGTTTTGATTCTTAACATAAAAACAAACCAAAGCAAGGTAAACAAGCATTATCACCTAACCTCTGGCAGCATGTTGACAGTCTCTGATCAGAGATGAGCAGTGTAATGCACAATACATGTTCCAGTGTGGATCACACGCTGGTCTGACTGTTTATGGAGAAGGTTGATGATCATATAAGGATTCTCTCCACAGGAAAAAAAAAAAATTAATGTCTACTTAAGTTCTCATACTTTCGTTAACAGACACTGAACAGGAGCACTTTTGCTGTTCAGAAAGCATCTTTTTTCAATGGCAGAGAGGGAGAGCACAGCTTAAAATTGAAAGAGTAAAGTCCTGTTCTCATTGAAGCTGACTAGCCTGGGACAGATTTTGTCTACAAGGACAGAGTCACAGCCAAAAGGCTATCAGGGTTTTCTACAGAAGCCCTTTCTTTCCTGTGAGTCCCATTATTGGAGTCCCACTATTGCCAATGGCATTGCAAGGCAATCATAGTGTCTGCTGCTGTGATTTGCCCTGCCAGGCACAGCTATCCAGAACCCTCTACTCGACCCAGCACAGCTCTAAATTCAGCAAAGCTTTTTCAATAGCAGGCCCATATGACCTAGGCCTTCAAAACAAATTAGAGGAAGGATAATTCCATCTGGTTCTCCTCTGCCAAAGCATATCCCATGCACCTGAAGGACAAAAAACCCAAGAGCATGCTCTGAAATAAAAATTGATGACTAATCCCAAGAATAAGGAGGGTTACCCATATAAAAACCTCAAAGGGGACTGATCCTGTATGCCCCTACACCTTCTCAACTTCAAAGGATGTTAACAGTCCAGCGACTTCTTGCTTGATTGAGTCCCATTTTTCTCTGTCACCTGTCAAAACTACAGTACCAGTGAGAAGGGGGGTGTGCTTTGTCACAGCTGCCAATTCCAGACTTGCATCACAGAATCATTAAAATGCTCACTGGAAAAGACCTTTGGAAGTCAACCAGGCCAACCTCCCACTTGAAGCAAGACCGCTGCCAACAGCCACAGTTGATCTACCCATGTCCTGAACACTCCCAAGGATGACGATTTCACAGCCTGGAACCTCTTCCAGGGTTCCAGCGTTCTCCTAATGAAATTGTCCTTATTGATGTCCAATCTCAACCTCCCAGGCTGCAATTTGCGGCCATACCCCTCATTATATCAGCTAGCACAACCAAGGAGAGTTTGGCTCAATTGCCTTTTTTGCCCCTCAAGCATTTATAAGCAACTATTAGATTGGCTCTGGGCACCCTTTTTAGCAGATCAAACAAGCTCGGCTTCCTCAGTGTCTTCTCATAGGACATGTTCTCTAGGCTTCTCACCATCCTGATAGACCTCCAGTTTGCCACAGATGAAGTTCATTGTCCACGGTAAAATAAAGTACCCTTTGTATCCATTCTAATTATACAACACTGAAAGAGTTAAAAGTAATGCAGATACTCATCAGTTACGCGGAAAATTTGTGCTCTGAAGGGCTGCCCAATTTTCAGTAATTATAAAACCTTTTTTATGTTGAAAGAATGTATGCATAGGCCATAGATTTCCTTCTAAGACCAAAAGAAACATGTTTTTCTTGCGAGGCTTAATCAAAACAGTGTTTTCCCTGTGCATTCCTGATGGCTCTATAGCTAAAGGAAATTAATTTTTCTTTAACCAGCAACCGGGACTGAGAGGAGACCAGGAATGGCGCTGCTCACAGCTGCTTTGGGGCAGTCCACAGAGAAAGCCTAAAAAGCTCAGGCTGACTACACAAATCCTGCGAGGATAATCTTGCCATTGGATCAGTTTGTAAACTCTGTATCTATTTCACTTCTTTAAATTTACACCTGTCATGGCTTCAAGCCAAGACCTTGGTAAAAAGAACAATTTAGTTCTTGAAAAGTATGAGAAAAAGTTGACCAAACAATCTGTTTCTAATACTGCTCAATGAGGTTCGAAGCAATCAAGACCTCCTGCATGCAGACTGTGAGTTATGTTTGCTCTGATGCATCAAGCTCATTTACCCTCCATTTAAAACCCTCTTTACCAACAGCAGTTGAATGTTCTTGCACAGGACGCGTTCACCAGTGCATTTTCTGATCACAACTGCTCAACATCCTGCCGTGGGTCCACGTGCTGCAATAAGTCCTTACCTACAATATCTTCATAGGCATTTTCTTCTAAAGTGCTCTTGGATCCAAATTTATGCTGGCTCTCAGTCCCGTTTTCGGTTGGGGAGGGAGGGTACAAGGACTGCAGACTTGAAGCATCCTCAAACTCAAAAGATTTTCTGAAGTTTAAAACAAGTAAAGTAATTAGTAACTAGAATGCAAAATGACCCAAATACTTAGCTGAGCATGTGTTTGCTAACCAATATAAATAAAATGAATAACCAAAAAAACCCAACACCTCATACTCTAAGACCTAACTTGTAGAGGAGCCTCAAGCCCTGTACTTAGAGCAGTCTCAACATAACAAACTTTTCTGATGTTCTTACAAGGTTGGGAAGTACTGTTATCCCCATCATAAAGGCAGGGAGAAAATATAGAGAAAGTATGTGGTTTTTTTTCAGAAGTTATAGAGTAAGTTAGCAGCAAAGTCCTGGGATTAGAAATTGCTTTGCCCTTGCCAGGGGCCCTGGAGACATGTGGACTTCTCTCTTCAAAGAAAAGACATTTCTCTGGAAAGTATTCCTCCACCAGTTGCTCTTGCAGACTTAGAGCTTAGTTTGAAAACTCTCCCAGATCTTGAACTTTTAGCTGTGTCCCTACATAAAGGTCAGTGCACAAATGTCAAAGGTAGATTCACATGTGGAGGAATCACCTATTTCCCCTGCACATCCTGCATCAAGCACTGGCAGCTGCAGGATATTAAGGTTGTGTGGGGCAAAGGAGCTACCCAGGGTGATGGCTGGGGCCCTGAAGGTTTGGGCTGTCTCACAGGAAGGTGAGGGGCAGGGCAGTTGGGTTAGATGTCTCATTGCTCAGAGGGAATACTGGCCCCTCCTGCCTGTGCTCTCACCCATCATTGTGGTTGGAAAGTTTGGCACCGTACCTCCAGCCAAAATGCATATGGGATAAACCCGCCGGTTGCAAGAAGCTGGAACGGGGCTGACATAGGTCAGTCGCCCAGCAGTCATGTTGTCTTACAGACTGCTCCTGAGAATCAAAGCAACTTTTCTCCCACCCTGCCATTCCAGAGACAGGAGATTCTCTGCAGCCTTCAAAGAGCTTCTCTCACTCACAGTGGCTGCAGCACTGCTGAGCAGATTGTGCACAGAGGCCTAGCCCTCCCCGTTCTCCAGTTTGCCCAGCATTTGTTCTCTGAGGCAGCATCGATACTGAAGTGGAGAGGTACATGGTTTGCACTGTCGGCTCTATCTGGGCTAGCATTAATGTAACTCAGTGCTGAAGATGAAATGGTGTGAAAAATGAGCTCACCTCAGAGTGCAAAGTCAGGGTTGCTGCAAGGCTTGTACAAGCTGTGCTGATGCCCATGCTTCACTCACTGATACCCAGACTAGCTAAAGTAACAGTAAATCATCCTGAGTAAACAGGATGATTAGTAAAGTAACAGTAAATCAGCCAGCTGGAGTGAAACGGACTTTGACAGTGGCCAAGGCTCAGGAGACACACTTCAGCCTGTTAATTTAATCGGCTCAAGCATATCCATTATCTGCACATATTACAGGCTGTAATCAATGTGAAAACTATTGTATACTGCATTTGACAGGAGCATTCTAGTCATTTGTTTGCTGAAGCAGACTTATGGGTCCAGCGTGGGCTTAAGAGCTCTGATTCCCTCCTTTCTCAAATCTTAAGAATTGTCAGGTCCACGGTACAGAGACCAGGATATCGACAGAAACAAGCTGCGAGTTTCAGACCCACGTGTCAGCCCTTCCCCACCTACCAGCAACTCTAAAAGATGTTTAGGCAATGAGGACATAACAGTGTATGAAATGAGACTACATAGATAAGCACGCTAAATATCCAATCCTCACAGATTTCAAGGCAGTATTATTATGCAGTGACCACTGCATAATAGGGCCACAGAAATGATTTTGTGGACTAGCACTCAGCTGTGCTCCATGTGTTCCAAGACTGCCCTGTAACTCTTCACTCCTGCTCTGCATCTGTGCCAGAGGATCTCCAACCACTAGGGAATATCCGGCTCACACCCATTTGAAGTGTGGAAGCTACAGTGGGCACCACTCCCCTGGATACAGGCTGGATCTATGCTAGCAGACAAATATGGAAGACTTTCTCCATTTCCTTATAATGTTAAATTAGACACCAGAAAGAAGAACAGTCTTTTAGAACAAAACATTAGAATAATAAATATCCTCAGATATTCTCATGACATTCCAGTGAGTGTAAAGGCCACATGTATGCTCAACCTGCAACACACAGCTACAAGCATGAATTATGTCTGTTCTCAAAAAGAGAAGCTTAGAGACTGAGATTTCAATAACTAATTGCAACAAAATATTGTGGTTCTTAGATGACTTGTATGGTCTCAAACTCTTTGTAAATGTTGGACTTACCCAACATTTAAGGAATAAAGGAAGTACTAAAAGAGAGACAATAAAGCTAAGATTTTATAGTGAATTTCCACCCAGCCTGGGAGTCAGCCTGCAATCTCTGATTTTGGGAGGGTTGATTTATACTTACATCACTGTTAATCAGAGATAACTCCAGAGAAAACACTAAATTACACTGGAGTAAAGTTGCTACAGGTAAACAGAAACCTATCCTGTAAAATGTCAGACTGATTTGCAAGAATCATCAAATACTCATGGTAGTGCTGCAAATCCTGCATCTTACACTCCACTAATCATAACTGAAATTGATAAAATTGGGCTCGTACCTACTAGCCCCAGCCAGGACCGGGGGTTGCACTCACTGCGTGCTGCTGCACAGTGCTGCTCACAAGAGTTTATGGTCTAACCCACCTATGACAGAGATGGAACTTGCACAACAGCAGGTACAAGCCTGAACTGCATCTCTTCTCGAAAAAAGAACCGTTTAGAGACTGAGGTTTCAAAAATAATTGTGACAAAATAATGCCGTTCCTAGATGACTTAGACTAGACTGTGGTCTCAAACTGCACGTGTGTGTATACTCAGAGACTGACTTTGACTGCTTAGTTGTAGGTCACAAGGTGATTCTGCGGCAAGTAGCAACTCCTGTTATTTATTCATCTCATCCACCCACCTCACAGACCCCTTTACCTTTTTACACAGACCATTTTGCCACTTGCCCCTCAGTTTTCCAATAAAGACTGTCATTTATATCCAAACATTTAAAAACTACTTTTTGTCTTCTGTACACTGCAAATGCTGTGCTGAACAAAACGAAGTTAGCTTTATTTCACAAATTCTTACGAAGATCTAGATTTGTTTCCTCTAACCGACATTATTGCCCAAATTCAAAGACGAGCACTACTAATCAGAGCTTGGCTTTTCACATTTTCCCCCACTCTTTGTCAGAGAAACAACACACATCAGTAGAGCTGTTTGATCCACTTCAGAAGCAGGTGTTTTTTGAAAGTAAAGAAAAGAATCTGAAGGCTCCTCCTCTCCCTTTTCCTGTTCCAGGATACTTCAGGTCAGGCTGTGCTGACATAAACTTATAATTAATTGAGTCAACATCCAGCACCAGATACTGAATCCAGTGTGCATTCAAGATGTTGTTTAGCAGTTACTTGCACAGCTCATTGCTAAATATTGAGTGTGTGTGTGTGTGTTCTACACATACACAGAGAGCTGAACATGTTAAAAATGCAGTACTTTGAATGTTTATCAACAACTATCCCTAAAATTTTCCAAGCAGTGAGTAAAATGAGCTTCACTGCTTCTAAAAAGTCAGTGGGAATCATGCAGTTAAAACAACGCAAACTCCACAGACTGCTGTGCAAAAGTAGCCATATACTCTACTCCTCAGCACCTCAGGAAAATTATAAAGGCCCTTGTGTGATAAAGCATAGTTTTCTCAACATTAATCCTCTACAGCTATTGACAGTCACTTCGGACAACACTTCTAAGCACTTAATCAAATAAAATCACCAGCGTCCCACAAAACTGACAAAACTGCTGTGTTAGCAAGCTTTGGACACACAAATCTTCTGACGACGTGTTTTGTGGTAAACAGGCAGACAGGACTTTGACAGACCAGCTACAGTCCTGCTACAAGAGAATATGAAATTACGCTCCATGAAACATCTCAAGTAAGGGCATTTGTGCCAAAGGGAGTGAGATAACCTTTAGCACACACAATCTACAGCCTTTTCCAGGGATTGAGGAATGCAGGTTGGAGGGCTCCAAAATTGTAGCCATGTAAAAGTATTGCACCAGTGCATCCCATCAGTGCAGTCCAGGGGAAAAAATGAGTACTCATCTCACAAATGATTCCCAGAATTTTCTCAGGTCAAATACATCACATTAGAGGGAGAGATTTAATTTTTGCTATTAGAAAAAGACATCATATTTATTCATTCTAAAATGAAGCCCAAAACATTTCCTTGGATTTTACCTATTCTGGGATTTTCTGTGAAAGCGTGACTCTTTCTTCTGCCTTCTGGTCACAGGGGGTGCAGGGGTGGATGGGAGGGGGGGAGGAGCAGCAGGCGTAGGAGACAGAGGTAGGCCATTGCTCGCTTTACTTTTGTGATTTTTGTCAGCTTCATATTCAAAAGTGCGTTTGGGCTTGGGGACAGGATTCACCACTGTGTTAGCTGGGCTTTCAAGGAGCACTTTCGGGCCAGCCAAGTTTGCAGTAACCCCTTGTTTCATCTTACTGTTTTTTTCAGCCTCCGTAGATGTTTCTGGATCACTCCCCAAAATAACATTCCCTCCTTTGCTATCACTTAGGTTTTCACTCAGTGCCTCCACAGTACTCAGAGTTAGAGACTTTTTCCTCCCTTTGTCAACGCTATAACAGCTACTGGGTAACTGGGGGAGGCCTCTGCCAGGTTGCTCTTTTAGTGCCTGCTCAATCTTCTGGATTCTGTTGAGCACAGCGGAGGACTCTTTCCTCACGTGGCCCTTCAGGGAAGCAGCAGAAGGAGGCTCACTCCTGCCTGGTCTCTTTTCCAACCGATGGCAGGAGTCCCTGTCCAGCAGTTCCTCCTCCTCTGTTTCTGGGTAAGAACACTCAGAAAACGTTCGACTCATTCTTCTGAACCCTTTGAAATCAAAAGTCTTCTCGCTGCAAGGAGAGGTGAGCACGCTAGGGCAGCTCTCACTGCCCGACCTCTCCCCAGCATCCCTCTTGTCCACACACGTGCTCATCCTGGGAGAAGGTTCCCGGCGGCACTCCCATTCTGTGATCTTCTGCCTAATGTCCAGCACCTGTGAGCGGACGCTCGCCCGGCTGAGGGAGAGGTTCCTCAAGTTCGCAGCAGCGCCCAAGGACAGAGTGCTCCGGGCGAGTGGATGGCTCCCTATCGTATCCCCATCCTGAGCCTCCTTAGGGCTCTCCTTCTGGTCCTCTGCCTTGAACACAGACAGCCTTTTATCCAAAGCACCCACGCTGATGGCTTTGAGAGGGTGGCTTGGAGAGTCGGTGTCCGAGGGGCTCGTGGAGGTGCTTCGCAAGGTAGACGCTCGGCTGCTCCAGTCCTTGAGGCGCAGTCTGGAGTTGGAAACTTTGGTGAGACGAGCAGAGCGGCAAGAGTCCTCGCTGTCACTGAGGGGGTAGGCTGGGCTTCTTGGCGGGGATAAAAGAGGCGGTGGAGAGACTGACTGACACCTAGAAGCAGAAAGAAATAAAAAATCAAGTCCTTGGGAAAAGCTGGAGTTATGTGCCACATTTCTTCTGACTGCAGGTAAAGTAGAGGATGTCTGCACTTCACACAGCTACCTCAAAGCATCACCAAGGAGTCACCAAACACCACTCAGCCACAAAATTGGGGGACAAGCAATTAACCAAGGATGAGCAAAGCTTTCAACACTTACAAAGCCAGTTTTCTCACCTCTTTTTAACTCTTTTTCATCTACCACACATACCAGAATAAGTCCCTGGCCTCCAAGGTTAAGGATTTCTTTTGCAGGAAAAGGGGATTTTCAGGGAGGAGATTCCTGCTTCTGCTGAAGCAAAAATTGGAAAGGCTGACTAACAAGGAAGATAGTTTATACATTGGTTGCACTGAGCCAAGCAATTTAAAAAGAAAGATGTGAGTTTTTAATTCATAAAATCTGAATCAAAGTTATCTCCATGGCCAGCAGCTGTGGTATTTTAGCCACAGCATTTCAAATCCCTGATGTACACAGTAGATTTAAAAAATGGCAAAAGGAGGACCTGTTTTGTCTTTGGTTTGACGTTGTGGCCAACAGATTAAATTCTCCTTATCAAAGAGAATAGAAATAATTTCTTATCAAAAGAATATTACAGACTGAAAAAACATGCTAATCTTCCCACAGTACACGTTGAAGAACATAAACTATACAGAAAGGTCTCAACGTTACCTTGGAAAAAACCCTTAGGATACATTTTTGTCATGGTCTGCAAAATTAGCCATTGTTCCTGGGGTTTTGTACACTGTTACAAAGACTTTAAAAACAAAAAGGGAAAAGGAAATTAAGCAACACATTAATCAGTGATGAGCCAGCAATAAGAAAATTAAGCCAAAACCATGTCAAAAAGAGGTTTTTACTGCTCTGCCACAATACACACATAACAAAACATAGCAGAAATAAAGTCCTTTGACATATTGCCCTAGAAACCCTTCTGTTCCAAACAGTAAGGAAAGAAGAGGAAGGATCAAAAATAATGCCTTGCATATGCCGTTAAGTTTGTGTTCTGTAAGGCATGTGGACAACTAGCTGAGGGTTTGTGTGTTTGTTTTTTTTTTTTTTAACTAACTGTCCTATAATCATAAAATGCAAATGGAAGAACAACTTAACCAAAAGAAATACTGGGAGCATATATCTCAGTTATAGCAAAGGCAGAAGAGATTCTGAACTCCTCTACAGCTTTCACCCCTAGCCGCCAGCCAAGCCTTACAAGCAGAGGGGCTAAGTTCTATGCAGCGATCTGAAAGTCCAGTGCACTGAGGCAATCTCTGCAAAACTTACTTTGAGACAGGAGATTTTTCTTCCCCTTCAAACACATCCCCAAAACAAATTATTAGATTTCATCTAAGTTTCCTAAAGTTGATACTTTGCAAGCAAATCTCACAAGTATTATGGAAGAGAAAAGTTCAGAAAAGAACAAAAATCAAATTATCACAAAAGTGAACTTCTCTCTTTTTCAGAGTCCTGTGATAAATCGAGCCTCTTTTGAATACAAGTTGCACTTCTTGGTGAGTTCTGTTTCTTCATCATTTTGAAAAATAAATATGTCCACAGGAAAAGATAGATCTCATGCCAAAGACAACGGCAAATAGTTCACCAACAGCTACTTAAAGCTCAGTGAAAACTTCATTCCGGGTCAGAGGATGCATACCAGAGTACACTTATTTCATCTTAAATCCTAGAAGTTAAATTCCCTGCTATTCTACACAGCTTTAGCTAGGTGTCTTAAACAGGAAATCTCAAAAGATCAAAAACAGGTAACAGGTGAAGAACACTTTTGGCTGGTTGTCTCAGCACAAAGGCTGAGGGGTGCTTGCCCTTGATCCTTCATTATTACCTTCTGTCCCTTCTTGATCTCTTCAGTTTAATACCAAAAAATCCCCACATTTATGTTATCCTTAACACTCAGTCCACTAGCTTAGACTTGAGCTTGCGTTCTCCAAATTTCTATATGTCGTTTAGGCCACTCTAGAGCTACACTAACATTTCTCTGAATGAAGCAAGTATAACTTGGCTGAAATGTATTTTACATACAAAGACCACACTGCTGCCTTTGAAGTTGCTTGTTAGCTAAATGCACTGTCAGGACTCAGCAAAAGGGTAGAGACAGGCCCTGCAAAGAGGCCATGTGGCATTCTTTAGCATATGGAGCACACGTTAAAACATTTTTTCTTCCCTCTCCAGCATGGGAAAACTGACATCCAAATTAATGAGGCCCTTTTCAATTAAAAGAATGTGTTAAATCCCAAATGATAATCTATACTGACAATAGCAAGAACAAATTACAAGATGACTGGAGTTTACTTAGTAATGGGACAGCAGAGGTGCAAGATCCTGCTGACAGTCCTCTCTCTGCGTTGCTGGTCTCACTATATAGTAAAAAATACTGTAAGCATTGCTTTCACTTTACTTCATCTGGGAAGCTGTGATCATCCCCACTCTACTTACTGTACGATGTGCAAAGACATCTTCCTATCATTATTAATAGCGTTGCTGCCTTATATTGTGGCACAGAGAGGTCAGTCAGGCCAGGAGCCCAATCTGCTGGTATCACAGAAATACACATGTGACAACTCTGCACATAAGAGCACATAATCCAGTTGAAAAAACACCTGAATTTAAGAACACAGATTCTCCAAGGAGATCTACAAAGGCCTTTCTTCTAAGATATAGTTTATTAACTACTCCAGGATAGCCTACCTAAACATAACACATTAATCACTTCGCTATGTTAAGTGAACAGTCTTGCGAAGAAGACAAATTATTTCAGCTCTGTTTTAGTATAAGGTAAAAAAGCCATAGCTCACAAGTATTGCTTTCAGGCTCCTGTCTTATATTTGAGCCACCAGACCAACTTAATCTGCATGATTAATGTAGACTGTATCAATCTGCCTGATACTCCTGTTCACAAATTCTAATGTTCACATTCAGGTGTTGTAGAGTTTGTCATTTTGACTGTTGTACTTTTGTTTCTTTACTATACTATTTTAATTAAAAAGGCAATTAAAAAATCAGGAAGAACACTCACAAGCACCTTGCACAGAATATCTGGATCCCCTGCAACAGCAAACATTATGTTAGAGTGCACACAGGGCCCTGGAAAGGGACCGGCTACTCCTCTGAGAACTGGTGGAATGCCAACCCCCAGTTGCAATTGCTGATCCAATATTGGTTTTGATTGAATACCACTACTGTTTTCATTTGTAGTATTTACGTTCCTGATAGGAATAGTCCCTCATCAGTTTATACTCTAAAGAACTTCTTTTCAGTTGTTTTCAGTGTCAGGAAAAGGTTTGTAAGTTTGTTGACTCATCAGGAGAGGAAGAAAGAAGGGAAAGCAGGATTTGCATGACTTGCAGAAGTTGCACAATGTGTCTCCTTAGAAGTATGAGCCATTCTTTTAAATCCCAGGTTCCTGGTAAGCTAACTGCACTTACGGCTCGATCTTGAACCCTCTGAAGTCAATTAGAAAACTGCCACTCACTTCCCCTGTACAAGACTGGGCCTGCAGAACAAAAGGCCCTTTAGAGGCATACGCCGTGAAGGATTTGTGATATCGCCGTTCAGAAAGATCCTGCCTTACAGTGAGTCATACTGTAATCTTAAGTAACCCAGTTAGAAGCTATAGGACCAATTCAGCAAGCAAGAGAGGCAAAACTATGTGTGTATGGCTTCAGGCATGCATTCTCCCACAGACAGTGGCAAGTAGCAGAATCAAAAAATAGTCCAAAAGTTGAACAATGGATAAGATGGTTCTTCCCCAAGAAATTCACTTCCATTAGAAGAACATTCTCTTGAAGCACAATAGTTCTGCAATCTTTAAGACTGGTATTTTTGGACAGACAACATAATGAAATAACTTGTAATCTTTTTTTAAAGCAAAACACTTTTATTGAAGTTTTCTATATACAGAATGATACACGTAGCACCTTACAAAACGTATCATTACATAGACCTTCAAAATATTAGGTATAAACAGCATAAGCAAAATTATGGAACCAAATTTAGACTTCTTAACAAGTGCACTTGAGGAGAACAACATTACTTTGAGAACATCAGCATTTCACACAACAAAATGGAACAAGTTGCTCTGATTCCCTACTTGATGAGGATATCGCTCCAGTGCTCAGGCAAGAAGCTCTCCAGCTGCTGAGTAGGCAGAGCACACTGCAGCCTCAGCGTAATCCCACAGACTGGGAGCAGCCCAAAAATCATGCAGCCCACAGAAGGGCTTGAGAGCAGGCCACAGACCCTGAGATTACCTACCTGTCTACCTGCTGGGGTTCGTTGCTGCACAAAAAAGGGACCCAATAGAATCTGAGAGGTTGTTTCCAACCCTCTAGACTGTGCTCAGCTGTACTGCTGTGAGTTGTTCCCTGAGAAATCACCAGAAGTACCCACAATAAGAAAAAAATGGTAACTGTAGTGACTACCTGTCACACTTGGAAACATAGATATAATCGAGCTTTAAAGTCTGATTCATTATCTCCTCTCCAGTTCCTCTTTTTCTCACCAAAACACAGAAAAGAACTTTCAGTTTACAAAAAGTGTAATTTTCCAGATCAGTTCTCAAATAAAGATATGGCTTCCACAGACCAATGTATGTACTCATATCATCAAAGCCTAGTATCATCACAAAGCCCAGTATCAATATCCATCTCCACTTACCTGTGCCAAATGAACATTCATGGATAACAGTGGAGATGCATCTCATTTAAAGCAACAAGAGAACAGGATCGCTTGCCACTCCGTCTTGAGATAATTTGCACCCTACTCCTTATAAAGCAGAAGATAAGAAAACTGAATTCCTGCCACCTTTGTGAGGCCCACAGCAAGGCTACCGTGCATTAAAAATCTATGCTGATGGAGAAGGGTGGGTTCTTCGTGCCATAAACGTTTGAACCCTCACCCTGTTAACTCACCCAAAAGTCAGGAGGTCTCTGATTTTAGACAGGA